GGGTGCGGGGCGCCCGGGGCGGCGTGGTCACAGCTCACGGCTGCTGTCCCACACTGACCCGCTTTGTGACTTAAGGCGAGTCTCGCCATCCACACAGTGGGCGGTAGGATCTCTCTGCCCTTCCAGCTACTCCCAGCCTGCAGCGCCCCCTGAGTTGTTATGACGTAGCAGGGAGGTCGCGGGGAGACAGAGGCTGCTCACACTGGGAGCTGGAGGGGAGGGCTGATGCACTGGGAACCTTGGGACTCTTCCTCCCTTCTCCTCGGTCTTGATCTTCTCATCGGTGGAACTGGCAGACTGGGCTCGTTGATTAGTCCAACCATTATCTCCCCGCAATTCTGTCTCAATAAATACCCATAGAATCCACACAGACTCTATAAAATTCCCTGATTGTGATTCCATTAGGAAAACAGACAAGCAAGCAGACACTTTGCCCTCAGATTGGGCCTGACCTCCAGAGTGCCCCGAAGTGTCCCAGCTGAGCGGAGGCTGGAGAACGTTTCCATGTGCCCTCGGGGTCCTTCCTGCCGCTGTCATCAGAGGGTAGAGGCTGGGACCCCGCGTCCCTCTAGACGATGGGCTAACCTGCCTTTCTGATGCTCCAGGCCTGGACGCCGAGCCCCCCTGCAAGCTGCTGCCATGGCTGCCCCATGCCCAGCGTCTGTATCCTCGTTTCCAACAGACGGAGGCTCGGTCAGCCCCACATTGACGCCTGGTCTTCTTGTGGCTCCAGGGGCTCATGGAACACCGTTACGGTGTGGCCCGTGCTGCTTCAGTCTCGTCTTCTAGTGCTTCCACTGATTTTTAAATTCCAGCGCAAAGGTAAAGCCAACTGAAGTTTATGGAACGTAGGAAAGGAGAATCCATCTAAAATCTCTTCAACTTGGAACTAGGATTACCTCCCCCCACCCCCAAGATCTGCATTTCTGCCCTCGCCATCCTCTTTGCTCTATACAAGGCACATTACTTCCCAGTTTCAAACAAGCCTTCCTCTGCTGCTGTGCTTACATCAGGACACAATCCGTATAGTGGGCAGGAGGTAGGAAGCGGCTTCCCGCTTCCCTAGCTGTGACACCAGCGTTAACCTTCTCTAGGCTCCTTTCTAAGATGAAGACTGGACCATCCGTCTCTTGCTGAGAGATACAGGTGGCCCCTCTCTGCCTCCAGGTGAGCCCAGCGCCACGGTCCTTAGGTTGCTGCCACATAGAAAAATGGCAAAGATCAACTTCCATTGTACTTCCTGCATTTCAGGCTCTCTGCTGAGTGCTGGACGTATTCCACTTCCTGCATCCTCACAGCCATCTTAAGAGGTGGGCCATGTTATTATCCGCTTCCTGCAGATAGGAAAACTGAGGCACTGAGAAGTGAGCCCACCTCAAGTCACCGAGTCGGAAGGGATGGTGCTGGCATTTGAATCCTGTTTTGGAAGACTGCTGCTTATCACAGTACAATCCCATCTCATCGTTTTGAGAAGCTTCCTGAGATTACTCTTGGGGGACAGAGTTCAAAGTGTCTTTATCTCTGCCTCCAGGTTTCCTTATTATGATCCCTCTGGAAAGACACTTTGCCATGTGCCTCTCTGCTCTGTTACTAGACTGGAAACAACTCAAGCAGAGGATGAAGGCAGAGATGCTCAGAAAACACTGGTTAACTTGAACCCTTCTCTGTCCTGGTAGGTTCCCTGTATCATACACCTTTCTCACCCCCTTCCTCATCCTCTCTGCGTTTGGGCTCTGCGTGTGCCTCTGCCCGAGTCTCCAGGGACAGACATCCTTGTGTCCGTGCACAGGGTCCTGCCTGGACTCTGATGTGGCCCGCTCCCCTTGCCGAAGCTCTCTCCCCTGCGGTCTCCAGCCTGCTCCCCACAACTGGTCATTTTGCCTCTGCCAGCTTCTCTTCTGTCCCCACCCACAATCCTCCCACCCAAGTCAGGGAGGTGTCCCCAGCGTTGCCCCACCACCATTACATGGCCCCCTCGCAGCCCGACGTGGGGACACAGGAGCAGTTCATAAACACGAGCTGGATGAATATTTAAAGGGAAGTAGTAAGTAGTATATTAACAACTTACATGGATGTTGTAATGATCCACAGTGAAATATTCCCTCACCTCTTTGCAAAATTATCATTCCAAACCACGGAATACATTAGGTTTTATGATCCACTCGCTTCTTTGGGGAGACGTAAATCTTGAAACATCATCTTCATATGACAGGGAAAAGAGTCCCCTGGGACACAGATGTTTAAGAATGTTAACTGAGAATCAGAAATAGTTTGTGACGAATATCAGGGTTTTGTTTATGGACAGAAATAAATCCCCAGTCTAGGGCCGACCTGTACAAATCTGATCACAAATGATGGAATGGGGGAAACGATCTGAATTTAAAGAGGTGACTGGGGGGGGCAGGGTTGCAGTGTTTAGGAGCTAATATTTTCTGACCATAAATCTCTATGCTGTTCAAACATTACTAGTCACCAACTAAAATAAATATAGAAACTAGGAATTTATATCGATGGTCTACAGTCACCAGGGTCTGTAAGTAGGTCATATGAAATGAAGCCGTTCCTTTTTCTAGGGTCATCAGAAGGGGTCCCCTCACCCTTCAGTGGTACTCCACACGGCAGAGGCAGAGGAGGGTGCACTGGCTTTTGGGGGTCCTCAGGTGGGAGCACGGCTTTGGGAGAGAGAAGGCCCATATTTGCTTCTTGCCTATTAGACTTGGTCAGGCTTTTTCCCTGTTTAAAGCCCATCACATATGACATGATGTGTAGAAAAGCCTAAAGACTCCATACAAAAACTACTGGAACTGATAAACAAATTCAGCAAGGCAACAGGATACAAAATTAATATACAGAAATCAGATGCACTTCTTTATACCAACAATGAAATATCAGACAGGGCATGTTAAAAGAAAAACAATACTTTTTAAAATTGAACTCCTCAAAATAAAATGTTTAGGAATAAACCCTCAAGGAGGTGAAAGACTTCTACACTGGAAACTATAAAACATTAACAAAGAAAACTGAAGATGATTCAAATGGAAAAATATCCCATGCTCTTGGATTAGAAGAATTAATATTGGTAAAAGGCCATCCTACCCAAAGCCATGTACAGATATAATGCAATCCTTATCAAATTACTCATGATAGTTTTCACAGAACTAGAACAAATAATCCTAAAACTCATATGGGGCTTCCCCGGTGGTCCAGGGGTTAAGCATCTGCCTGCCAATGGAAATGACACCGGTTCGAGTTCTGGTCCCGGAAGAGTCCCACATGCCTCGGGGCAACTACGCACACAAGCCACAACTGCTGAAGCCCACACGCCCCAGAACTCCTGCCGCACGAGAGGGCCGCGGCGACGAGGAGCCCGCACGCCCCGGAACTCCTGCCGCACAAGAGGGCCGCGGCGACGAGGAGCCCGTCGCTGCAACTGGGGAGCAGCCCCCACTTGTCACAACCGGAGCAAGTCCGCACGCGGCAACTGCAAGCCCGCAGCGCCGACAAATAAACAGAACTAAAGAAAATTCATATGAGGTCATGAAAGACCCAGAACTGCCAAAGTAGTCTTGAAGAAAATGAGCAAAGCAGAAAGCATAATCCGCTCAGACTTCAGACAATACTACAAAGCTACAGTGATCAAAAGAGCATGACATCAGCACAAAAACAGACACACGGATCAGCGGGCGATGATAGAGAGCCCGGAACTAAGCCCACACACCTACGGTTAGTTACTCTTTGACAAAGAAGGCAAGAACACACAGTGGGAAAAGCTCCTCAGCAAGTGGTATTGGGAAAGCTGGGACAGCGATGACAGTCTCAGGCTTTTCTTGTTGCTGTTGTTGTTTTTTAATTTGTATTTTTAAAAAATTGAGATAGCTAACATTAGAGTGTCTTTATTTTTGATGATCCGTTTTGAGGAATGCTGGTCAGTTATTTTGCTGCATGTCCTATAGAAACTTGCCTGACACATTGAGTTTACGGGTTTGGGGGAGGAAGGCCACAGACGCAAACTTCCTGTCTCATCACGTTATATCAAGAGTGCATCCCAGCGACTTGACCTATCACTGCTGACGCTGACCTTGACCAGCTGGTTGAGGCAGTGTTTCTCAGATCTCCCCACTGTCAACTTTCTCTTTCCCTCCCCTTTCATATTGCACCCTTTATGGGAGGCCCTAAAATTAACAGAGAGAAGTTACACTCCACCTCTTGAGGGTGAGGTGTCTACATAAATTATTTGGCAATTCTTCTGTATGGGTAATTTGTCTATTCTATTTTCCTACTTATTTATTCAATCATTTATCTATCTCAGTCTGGACTCGTGGATATTTATTTTATATTTTGGGTTATAATCCAATACTACTTTATTTTCCTGCTCCTCTGTCCCACTGATATACTCCCCATCAATGTGGGTTTAAAAAAATTTTTTTAAGCAATTTCTTACTTTTTGGCATTATAAGAAGCTCTAGGCTTATCCTGTACATTTTTCACACTCTCCTAGGCTAAGGCATGTCTCTATGCATCCTTTCTTTTACTGGAATCTGGTATTAGAAACCAAGAGCTGGTACCAGGTTTTCCTATTTCCTGGGCTTTCCTGGTGATCAGACAGTAAAGAATCTGCCTGCAACACAGGAGGCCTGGGTTTGATCCCTGGGTGAGGAAGATCCCGTGGAGAAGGGGATGGCCACCCACTCCAGTATTCTTGCCTGGACAGAGGAACCAGGTTGGCTACAGTACCTGGGGTTGCAGAGGCTCGGACACGACTGAATGGCTAACATTTCTCTTTTCTTTTGCTTTTTGCTGCTGAGTCATTTGTTGCCATTGTCGCCTTGCCAGGTGAGACACAAGGTAATATATGTATGTACACCAACCTATGTATACACATATCTATAGAGATTTCTTGTGTAACCATCTATGTCTATATTACAATAAACATGAATTCAAACTAATATCTCCAACCACATCATCACATTGATCATTCAAAGCCATCTCCCCTTGCTTACCTGCAAACTTCCACCTCAACAAGGAGATGCCTGGCTCCACCATCTGCCATCTATAGACTCATTTGTTCCATTCCAGTGGTTTCAAAATTGTTAACCTGTATGCACACGGAAACAACTTTGTCAACCAGAGTGAAATGCCTGTGTGCCTTTGGTTCTGTAGACTCCATGATTTCCAGTTACCTGGCTGACTCAATGGAAAATACCCTGATGCTGGGAAAGACTGAAGTCAGGAGGAGAAGGGGACGACAGAGGATGAGATGGTTGGATGGCATCACTGACTCAATGGACATGAGTCTGAGCAAACTCTGGAGATGGTGAAGGACAGGGAAGCCTGGTGTGCTGCAGTCCATGGGGTCACAGAGAGTCGGACAGAACTTAGTGGCTGGACAACAGGACAACAATTTTTTTCCCCCACCCCTTCAGAGCGGTTGTTTCACATATCTGTACAGATCTCCCTTTTCCCCTGGTAGGCAGATTTCAGTCCATGTAGTCAGCCTCAGACTGTCTCTGGGACTGCATTTTTCTCCTGACTTCCCTTCCTCTCTTCCACCCTTCTGCCGTCTTCTTGGACCCGGATTTCATCCTGCTCCCCTTCACCTGGTGTGGGCCAAGAAATAACATATTCAGATTCTATCTTCAGGAGCAAAGGTGAGTACAATTGGTGGTGATGCTCCATGGATCTCCAGGGTATGAGGTCCATTGTCCTAGGTTCTCCAGAGGATAGAAACTAGGTGCTAACTTAATCACCATCCACAGACGGGAGTGGACAGGAAGATGGGGTGAGTAGGGTCAGAGAACACCTGCCACATGCAGGACTGTGAAGACAGGCTGAGAGGCTGGGTGGGAATCAGCCATGCCACGGCCATGCTGCAGTTTCACGGGACACAGATTTCCAAAATCAAGTCATTCATGGAAACAGAATTTCATTTGCTTTTAAACATTTTGTACTTCAAAGGTCTCTAATATGTGTATTTTAAAAAAGTCATCAGAGTATTGGAATACTCTGAAAGATCACCCACTCCTCCTTAAAAGGCGATCTAAATAGCATTCTTGTAGTTATAATAGTCTCTGTGGCTCTAGGGTGATGGGAGGCTGAAGCACCAAGTGACATCCTCATCAGTTCTGTCCCTGGGGATGAGGAGGGAGCCTGACAGCTGAGCACATCTTGCCTTTGATAAACACCTTTCTTATTCTAATTACACCTTTCCCTAAAGTAACTTTTCCGGCTTACTCTTTCACCCCACTCCTTATATCCCCTGTTTAAAAGGAGCCTATTCAGACAGCTTGTGAACAATGCTGCTTCGGGATGGTTTAATCGGGGGTAAGGAAACCTGTAGCGGGTCTTATCTGGGGTGAGCGTCTCAAGCATCTAAGATTATCTCCCTGTCACCTTGTGACCCGTCTTCTTCATGCTACCTTTTAATTTTGGTAGCAATTACGGTGTATATGGATAATGCCCATTAGCATATTCATGGTCATCTCGTCATATTTATTGTCCACACAACTCATTAATCTTCATCTACTTTGTGCGCTTGACAGCTCAATCTATTTTGCAATCTCTGGGAAGCAGCCATAGCCCCCCAAAGCCTTTGTTTTCCTGTAAATAAACTGTGTTGGGGACCAGAGGACAATGGTGCATCCCGTGGTGATTGACACCAGCCATGGCTCCTAATCAGGATGGGACTTCATTGCCAGCTGAGTCGAGTGCGTTATGGGGCCATTGTTCCAACGCTGCCAGGGCAAGAACACACACAGACAGTCACCTTCGCAAGATGGGTTGATTGTTCTTCAAGATTAGACCGAAGTGCCTTATTATCCGTCCCAGACAACAAGGCATCTCACCCAAACAGACGCATTTGCAGGAACGGCCAGTACACTGGCTGGATTTGAATTGCTAATGTATAATCTGCCCAGCACAGATGTGCAATGAATATTTGGATGTTGTTTTGCCCGTCAGTCTAGGAGGCTGAATTGATGAGGTGATGAGTATTCAATGATGGGTCCTGGACATTGGCCAATAGCAGAGTTTGAGCACTTGGACTGGAGATAATCAGATTACCCCCCAAAGTGCCTTTGCAGTAATTCAGCGGTAAATTCTGTTACAGAGGCTGTTTGGTGGGAAGTTTTTTACCTTTTTGGTGCAATTAGATGTTTTGTTATGCTTTTCAGACTTGGGACACATATAGAAGTTGCCTTCTGTCCTTACTTGCTAACTGTTAGGGCTGTGAGTAATATGCAACTGACTGCCTGAGTTTGAATTGGCCATTTTTGAGCCTGTTTGGTGTGCCTCCGTTTTTTCACCTGTTAAAATGGGTTGAAAAAGTCTATCAACCATATAGAGCAGCCATGAGAACTCAAGAATTGATACCCATAGAATAAGTCCTAGAATAGTGCCTGGCTCATAGTAAGTGCTTAACAAGTGCTTAACTAACTATAAACATATTATTGGTCACTTGCTTGCTCTTGAGATTACTGTGATCAAATAGGTTGGGTACACTGGAAATAAAAGTAAACCACCTTCAGTATCTCAAGACGTCTCCTGGCCTTCACCATGCTACTTTGCCTAGTATATTCACAACTGTATGGAACATTTCCCACACATATTTGACCATGAAAGCCTTTTCTCTGGAGCATCTTTTATACCTGATTTTGCCTAGAACACACTATAGGAAAATCTACCTAGAAGATGTTAACACAACAGTTGAAAAGGTTTAAAAAAAAACAACACATGATTCGGGAATTTTATATAAAATCAAGCTATTCATATGTGAAGGTAATGGGGATTAATTATGCAAATACATATATTCTCTCTGAAAAAAAAAATAGTATTCAAAGTGTATTCTTAGGAAGAGGATGATAGCTCTGAAGGAGGAACTCAAGAATGGCAGACAAGAACTTGTAGGAAGTGGTGAGACCAGTTGATTGTATTGAAATAATTCTAAACAACTGCAGCAAGTATCTTGTCAAAATTGACATCAAAAGATTAAAATATTTGGAAGAAATTATTTTACTAAAATAATGGGCTACTGGCATACATCAATGCAGATCAAAAGAATGAAGAAGGAGAAAGGAAAAGCAAGTGTCTTTTATTAAGAAACAGAAAAAGAAGGTACAAAGGATGATGCACTTCTGTTTAATGAAGGTATAATAAAAATTACCCCAGTCATCCTTAACGACTTAAAATATATATATAATAAATCATTAAAGGCCAATACTCTTAGATCTGAGGTAAAAAAAAACCCTTAAATACAAGGTTTCTCTGCTTATTAGATAAATAAAAATAAAAAGTGGAATATTCAAAACTGAAATGAGTAAAATAAAGTCAGGTCTGGCAACATTAATATCAAGCAATGCAGAGTCAGAGTGTGGAGCTGCTGACTTCGTGTCTCTGTCCCCAAGCCCCTGCAGGCGGTTGGCTGTGAACAGATATCAGCCAGATGTGCTGTGGAAGCGGAAGCAAAGGGCCAGAGGCATATGGAAGGCATGGCTTGTCTGCAGGGCTCCTTGAGTGTGACAGCTTCAGTTTTGCACCTGTTTTATCCCCAGCTCACCTCCTGGGAACTGCTTCCTCCTCCTTCCTCTGGACCCTCCTGGACCCCTTTCTCCCAGCTACGTGATTCCTCCCACTGTGACCTCAGGTCCTGCCCACGGCGGACGGGGGCCCACCCGAGCCCAGCAAACAACAGTACCTTGCCTCCTGACTTGCTTCCTTACTTTTGGGGAAGATACCTGAAGCAAGAAGGCTCCATCATTGTTCTTTGATGATGTCCTTTCACATGCTGATAAAGAAGGCTGGTTCCTCTCCGGTGATGCAAACAGTAAGATGGAGGTCCTCCACTGCTATTGGTGGCCATGTTTCCTGCCATGAGAAACTAGCCTACAAGGAAAGACAGTGATGTCATGTATTATGTCAAAACTGGTTTTCTGATAGCATGTGAATTCCTAGTTCCATCTGAACTTCAGGCCTACCATTTCCCACTTCACTTATGCAATTTTTTCCTTGAATCATCTATCCTTTCCTAAATAAATTCCCTTTTTCTGCATTAGCTACAATTGGGTTTCTGTCACTTGCAATCAAGAGTTCTAATACAAAAAAAAGAGTTCTAATACAATTACCTTGTTAAAGTTTTATCTATGTTAAAAAGACATTTAGTGGTATGTCCTGATGTATGATATTTTACTAGTTCCGTTCAGTTCAGTTCAGACGTCAGTAGTGTCAGACTCTTTGCAACCCCATTGACTGCAGCATGCCAGACCTCCCTGTCCATCACCAACTCCCGGAGACTACTCAAACTCATGTCCATTGAGTCGGTGATGCCATCCAACCATCTCATCCTCTGTCGTCCCCTTCTCCTCCTGCCTTCAATCTTTCCCAGCATCAGGGTCTTTTCAAATGAGTCAGCTTTTTGCATTAGGTGCCGAAAGTATTGGAGTTTCAGCTGCAGCATCAGTACTTCCAATGAACACCCAGGACTGATCTCCTTTAGGATGGACTGGTTGGATCTCCTTGCAGTCCAAGGGACTCTCAAGAGTCTTCTCCAACACCACAGTTCAAAAGCATCAATTCTTCAGCGCTCAGCTTTCTTTATAGTTCAACTCTCATATCTATACATGACCACTGAAAAAACCATAGTCTTGACAAGACGGACCTTTGTTGACAAAGTAATGTCTCTGCTTTTTAGTATGAGTTACTGAATTGCTAACTTAGGTGTCCAGGTCCCACAGTGAAAGGGAACATATAATTTGGCTGAAAGCAAGGTGGACAACAAGGTAACTCAGTTTGAAAATAAACATCATCAGTTAGTGATTTTGATTTTGAAAATTTCTATCTTTTTGTATTACTGAAGTTTTGCAACCTTTTCACATGCCTACTTTTTTCTGATTTTCCTTGTTTTTGCTTTTAAAAATTTTAATATTTGCCTTTAGAATTTAAAGTTAATAATTTTCCTGCTAGGCTGCTTACAGTAGCAAACAACTGGAGCAATCCTAATAGTAAGGAATTAATCAGGACAAGTGATACATCCCAAATAGGGCAACAGTTGGAGACACAAATGTCTAAAAATATACTGTGAGAACATGTGACCAATAAGATTTTATGTTTTCTTTTATATTTGAATTTTTAATTTTATGAGAAAATCAGCTTATGGAGTATCAGAAAATATAAGCAAACAAAATAAGATTTTAATGCCTACTGATTAATCACACCCATCTGATTGCTGGGAAAAATATAAACAACCTCAAATATGCAGATGACACCACCCTTATGGCAGGAAATGAAGAGGAACTAAAGAGCCTCTTGATGAGTGTTAAAGAGAAGAGTAAAAAAGCTGACTTAAAACTCAACATTCAAAAAACTAAGATCATGGCGTCCAGTCCCATCACTTCATGGCAAATAGATAGGGAAAAAGTAGAAACAGTGACAGGTTTTATTTTCTTGGACTCTAAAATTACTGCGGACAGTGACTGCAGCCATGAAATTAAAAGACACTTGCTCCTTGGCAGAGAAGCTATGACAAACCTAGGCAGTGGATTAAAAAGCAGAGATGTCACTTTGCCAACAAAGGTCCATATAGTCAAAGCTATGGTCTTTCCAGTAGTCATGTAGAGATGTGAAAGTTGGACCATAAAGAAGGCTGCGTGCTGAAAAATTAATGCTTTGGAATTGTGGTGCTGGAAAAGACTCTTGAGAATCGACTGGACTGCAAGATCAAACCAGTCACTCCCAAAGGAAATCGACCTTGAATATTCACTGGAAGGACTGATGCTGAAGCTAAAACTCCAATACTTTGGCCACCTGATGTGAAGAGTTGATTCACTGGAAAAGACCCTGATGCCGGGAAAGATTGAGGGCAAGAGCAGAAGGGGGCAACAGGATGAGATGGTTAGGGAGCCTCACTGACTCAATGGAATGAGTCTGAGCAAATTCCAGGAAATAGTAAGGACAGGGAAGCTTGGCATGCTATAGTTCATGGGGTCACAAAGAGTTGGACACAACTTAGCAATTGAACAACAATATAAACAACACATACATATACATTCTCACAATTATTCATTTACAAGACTTTTATTTTCTACAAAAAATGGGACATCACATGTGCTTTTTTAAAAAAAATCAACTTAATGACATATAACTGACATGCAATAACATGTACTCATTTTAAGCATACAGTTGATTCTGATAAATTTAGAAACCCTTATAACCACCACCATAATAAAGATATAGGACATTTCCATCATATCAAAAAGCTCCTTTGTGCCCTTTCCTAGTCAATCTCTCATCCTGGGCCACAGGCAGTAATCAGCTTTCTGTCACTATAGATTAACTTTGTTTTTCTTTGCTTAAGGTTTCATATTCATGGAATTATACAATACAAACTCTTTCTGTGTCTGACATCCACTTAGCATACTTCTGAGATTCATCTACATCACTGGGCTCATCAGCATTTCGTTCCTTCTTTATTGCTGAGAAATAGCCCATCCCATGAAAGTACCACAATTTGTTTATCTGTTCACCGTTTAAACACATTTTCACTTATTTTAGACAAAATTTCTAGAAGTGGAATTGATGGGTTGTATGGTGTCACGTTTAACTTTGTACAGAACTTCCAAACTGTTGCTCTGAGTTGATTCCATTTTCTATTCCTTCTCAGACCAACGTGTGAGAAGTGCAGGGGCTCCACACTCTCACCATTTTTAGAGTCTTCAGTTTTATGGGTGTGCAGATATCTCACTGCGGTTTTGATCTGCACTTCTTTTGGAACCACTGACGTTGAACATCTTATCATGTGCTTATTGGCCATTTGTAGAGCTTCTGTGAAATGGCCCTTCAAATCTTTCCCCGATAAAAAAATGTGGGTTGGTTGTTCTCTTGTTGTGAGACTTCTTTACATATCCTGGGTGCAGGTCTTTATCAGATATATAGAATATTTTCTTAGAGCCTGTGACTTTTTAATTTTTTTTGTACATCAGTGTCCTTTGAAAAGCAGTTTTTAACTTTGATGAAATCAACTTACCAATTTTCCCTTTTATGGTTTGTGCTTTTTGTATCCTATCAAAGAAATCTTTGCCTACCCCAAAGGCTGTGGAGATTTTCTTTTCCAACTTCTTCAGTCTGTCTTTTATGTTTAGGCCTATGATCCGCTTCAAGTTCGTTCCTGCATGTAGTATGAGGTAACGGTTCTTGGTAGAAATTAACTGACCCCAGGTGCAGATGTATTTTAGCACTCTATTCTACGGCACTCTACAGTTTACACGTTAGCTTCACATCCTGAGTGTTGCTGAATCATTTCATTCAGTCCTCTGACTCTTCATAAGCACATTATGGGGTGGGCTTCTGAGACCTGATTATACCCATTTTACAGATAAAGAAACCTAGACTTGAGGACTGCCACCTTAGGACACCTTCTCAATAGCTGTGGAGCGCCGAAATTCTGGCTTTTTTACAGAAAAGTAAAGGCTGACCTGGAATCATCAACTTAGCAATCGGTTCTAACTCTGCCTGTCCATTTCTTGGGTGAGTGATAGGTCACAAAGGTAAATCACAACTGTGCTATGCCTGTCCCCCGCCAGCCCCCCACCAAACCCCAACACACACAGATACACACATACACACACACAAGCCCCGAGACACGTCTAGGCTGTGTTTGTCTCAGAAGACATCAGTGGCTGGCCAAGAGAACAGTTCAGCGCTTGCTTCTGGCCCTGTCTCTGGATCACCAGACTGGCTGACCCGTACTGTGAGCTCCACCCAATGCCCGTCCTCTGGGCAAGGACAGAGTGCTGGCTCCAGCAGCCATTGGTGCTGGTAACATCTCTGCCCATCCCCGCTCCCCAGGGCTCCCGTTTAACCAGAGGACAGCTGTCACGAGCTCAGCCCCCCGCCCCTCGGCGAGCAGGCACGGGAGCGCTGGTGTCGGGACAGTGGCAGCCTCGCAGGCCGCTGGGGCTTCTGCTGCGGGGGACTGAGGCTGGGCATGAAGGAGGACGGAGTTCAGTGATCTGAGTAAGGGGCTTCTGACTGCAGACGAGGCGGGAGGCGCTGCAGAACGAACTTAGAGGAGGGCTTCAACGGTCCCCGCGTGACTTCAGGCAGGTCCCGTGCGCTGGGGGCCAGTATTCCCACCCACAGAAGAGCACGTTAGGTTGGGGGATTTCTGGGGCCCTAGTCAGCTCTGAGTGGACGTGATTCTGGGACCTGGATGTGCAAAGAAAGGAGGTCCCACAACAGTGATGCTGGTCGAGGAGGAGGGAGAAGGGCTGATGATCAACAGGGACGGGGGATGAGCAGAAAGCAGGCCGGGGAGGTGAACTGCCTCATTTCCTTCAAGGAAGAAGACAGTGAAAGTGAAACTGGCATCCTGGGCTGGGGAGAAGGTGGCAAGGCATCTACTGATGAGGCGCCCATAGCACAACTGAAAGAGTTCTCGACCCGGCCCAGGGCTTCAGAGCTGCAAGCCTCAGCTTCTCCACAGTGAGCAAGGCTACAATAATCACCTGGAATGATGCTGAGAAGAGCTCTGCCACAACCTAACCCCACAAACACAGGATCCTTAAGAACACAAATACTCTATAACTAAGCATCTTAAATTCTATTTTTCCATGTTCTATAAGTAGTTCAGTTCAGTTCAGTTGCTCAGTCGTGTCCGACTCTTTGCGACCCCCCGAACCACAGCATGCCAGGCCTCCCTGTCCATCACCATCTCCCAGAGTTTACTCAAACTCATGTCCATGGAGTCAGGGATGCCATCCAGCCATCTCATCCTCTGTCTTCCCCTTCTCCTCCTGCCCTCAATCTTTCCCAGCATCAGGGTCTTTTCCAATGAGTCAACTCTTCACATGAGGTGGCCAAAGTATTGGAGTTTCAGCTGCAGCATCAGTCCCTCCAAACAACACCCAGGACTGATCTCCTTTAGGATGGACTGCGTTGGATCTCCTTGCAGTCCAAGGGACCCTCAAGAGTCTTAGCCTACAATTAAAATAAATAAACTTACAAAAAAAAAAAAAAAGAGAGCTCTGCCAACTCTAAAGCCTTCCCTAACAGGACTTCAGTATCACTAGTCATTAGATCCTTTCCAAACAGGAAGAACCATAAT